GTTAGCTGCCGTGCGTCCATACGACCAAGATCCCGATCCGGATACCAAGAATATGATGATCGAATCACTGGCCAATAAGAAACTGGAAATTGTAAACGCGTATGTGTGATTGGATGATGATAGAAACGCCCTGAGCTTGCTAACCGATAGCGCTTGCTAACCGTTAGCGGTATGCGGATACCGCTAACGGTTAGCGCTAACCGATCGGGCGTTCTCACGCAGGTGCTAACGGTTAGCGCTAACGGTTAGCTCCCGATCCGGATACTAGGGCTCTCGTGAGAACCAGGCTTTATTTAGTGTTTTTACGGGACGGTCTCATTCCGTAATAAGTGATTTATGGGTTTGTTGAAAGTCATTCTTGTAGACAGGGAATCTGTTAGAACATCTGTGTGGTAATCTAATTATTTTTACTATTACTGTATTTAAAAACAGCGAGTGGCCCGCCTACTTAAACCCATCCATCATTTTTACAGTTAGCAGCAAGAGAGGTAAAACATGTCAAACTAGTATGCTACAAGGGAAGGGCGTGCAGAAAGAGAAATGGGATCAAAAAAGAAAATGAACGTTTTTGACTTTAGTCCTGTATTACTTTATATGACTTTTGATTTACTTTTATGTGCATCTGTGGTATCTGGCCTGATATGTGTGCTTCTTGTGTGATAAGTGGTGTTGTATAAAGTATGTACTGTATGTCTCTATGTTTATAATTGTGAATACGGTACAGTCATGTGACTATGGGTATGCAGTCTTGTATGGATATATATTATGTATTTATGTATGTGTATTTCATTGTATTGTGTTTGTATAATTGTTCATGTGTGTTTGCTTGGATCACTTTATTTTGCCTTAAGTTTTTAGTTCAAAATTGCTTTTAATTTTTGTTTACATGACTGAACATTTTCTTTTTACTTTTCCTTAATGTCCATTTTGAAAATTTGAATTGTGTTTTTCTTAGCATAAGTCTATTTTTTGTGAACTTTACTATACACTGAATTGTTTTGGATGCACCTTCTAATGAGAAGTGTGCCATTGATTGAAATGTGTAGTTCCTAATAAATTATTATTACTAGAGTAGTCCATACCTCCGCTCTGAGCAGTACCAACAATACACAAGCCGCGGGGAGACCGGGGTCAGTTGTTACAGGGGTAGATTGTTACAGTGGTCTTTTCCCCAAATAGGAAATGTAGAGGGAGGTATTACCGGTGTCATATTATAGGGCGCTGTAAGATCCATCACCGCCGGCTGTAGCGTGACGAATCCGAATGCTTGACAGGAAATGTAAGTAAAATGTTTGTTTTTATATCCCAAAAGTAAATTTTTCATGACAAACCGTTTCTGTAATAGCGTTTCCTCATGTAGATGGATAAAGAAAGTTTATATATTTATGTGAAGCATGGCCATTACCTAACACTTTCATAGGCCATTACCACACATTTCTGCCTACAGGCAACTATCTGTGTTTCAATATAAAAATAGCACGTGGGGTACGGTAAGTTGTTACGGGTAAGTTGTTACTGTAACAAGGATGGTCACAGAGCGAGTGTACCGAAGGAGGCGCACTTTACACGTGCGATCATTGTAAAGAAGAAGAAATGGACATTTCTGATTGACTGTTTTGTTGAGTAGCTAAAATGCAGTATAGTGCGGTCTTACAGTTAACCATAAGGCTAAAATAATAATGTTGTTGTCTCTTTTATACACTTTAAAGCATGTTTGTTTGCATATTTTAAACATTTTATCTAGTTTGTACAATGTAACAACTTGCCCCACATGGTGTAACAATATACCCCGGACCAGGGGTAATTTGTTACAGTTGATCTACTTTATTAATAAATTAATGATTAATTAACGGATTGATATATGACAGTTGTAATTGCTTCGTTTTATAACCAATATACTGTTCTTGCATTATAATAAAAATGGTGTGTTTGTCTCATTCAATTACGTAATTAAGGAACAATATGTAAATTTTGTAACAACTGACCCCGGTCTCCCCTACGATGGGGAAACATGCACTTTCAAAAATGCAATCCGGCTTTTTTTTTCCCCAATTAACCTCTGTGGGTCGCTGATTGACACCGTTCAAGAACTTAAATAAATATTTAGGAATTACAATCTCAAATAATTTAAAGTGGCATTCACAAATTATCAATACAGTACATGTTTTCGAAAACTCTCCGTAATTAAATATCTAAAACATTCACTTGAACCAATATCTATCGCTTTCTTATATAAATCCCATATCCAATCAAAGATGGAATAATATGCATGTGCTATGTATGGCCACCTACCTGAAAGTAACGTGCGTATTTGAAACGTATTGCATATCTTTTCAGTAAACCTCTATCAAATCGCTCTTCGTATTCTTTGCTCAATATGATATTACAACGTACGACACAAGATTTAAATGTTTCACTCTATGCGCATTTTTTCTATTGTTCGATCTTACGATCACATTTTAAAAAGATTTCCTCCCGCCTCGACGTCAAATTATCTTGCTTTCAACCTTCTTCATTGTCGTACCGAACGTTTCAAATCTTCATTTTTTCCCCAGGTGGACGTGCGGATCCAAAATTCATCCTGACTATCGCACAGCTGGGGTCCCAGGTGCAGATTCAGAGCTTCAAACTAACCATAATTACAATGGTGACATGTAAAGGCGGGGTCATGAGTAATCGAAGAGGGCGCAATTTGTGGTTGTTCTGTCAAATGAAAAAAAAATGCTGAATGAATATATTC